ACTCGGGTAAGTTCGTAACTCGAGAACCTGAAAAGCTAGAAGACTGTAGTTTTAAGATGTCCCCCGTCCAAGTAAGTCCCAACGAGCTCAAACCCAAAAATCGGGTATGCGTGGTACCCGCGTGCACGCCCGTGAAAGTTTTTTCCAGTAAGTTGCTAACTCAGAAGCCAGTAAAGCTAGAAAGCTGAAATTTTAAGGGGATGTTTCCTGACAGTTCTGGCGGCCAGTCTTAATTTGTTTTAGCTGAAACATTTGCTCGAAAAAACCGATGCCGGTAGCGACAAAAACTGCGGGGAACTATGCAAAAAACGCGTCTTCGCACGGACAGCCCGTGCGTTGGCTAATTATTTAGCCTTACTTCGCTGCAAATGTGTTTGAAGTGCCCTTAATCGTGGGGCAAGTGCAAGTCGAAGCTCAGTTTAGGTGTACGATTTCCATGTGGACGATAAATATCCTGACAAAATTTCAGCCAGTATTTTTCGGCTAGTTTTCGAATTGGGACAGTGCTAAGTGCAAACTTTTAAAAGTACTGCCTGTTTTGGCCGAGAGATGAGTGTTAATTGGGGAGTTTTGAACTGAGCTTTTCAATGAATTCTCAAGAAATTTAAAACTGATTGTAATGACCTCGTTCACTTTTCTCATTTTCATGATAGATCTCATTTAGCTGGTGGTCCCTTCCTGAAATTGCTTAGTCTTGAACTTAAATGAACGTGACGACGATTGGCAAAAGTTGAGAATGCAAATGCGAATATTTTTCGTCAAAGTGATGGCGGATTTGAATTTTCCTTCTTAGCTGATCTACGGCGATATCGGTTTAATTCTAAGATTCATTTTTTATTTTTGATTGTCAGCTTAGAACTGCGGCACTTCTCGTCGGGATTACTTGAATTCACGCATGATACTGAGGTTTTTATTATCACCCCACGTCTACCTTAACCCTGACATTCCTATTTGGAATAACCACTTCTTAGTCGGGCTTCCATGGCCCCATCTTCCCTTTCTATTTCAGCACTATAAAATTCGTAATGATTTGCTAAGATGCAGTATTTTTGTATCCTCGCTAAATGATCATCCTGGGTAGTTCACATCGACCAATGCATTGCAGAAAATCCATTCGAACTAGTTTTTTTTTTTTTTGCAGCTCCTGATTCCGGACATCCGCGGCAAAAAAGCCAACAGCACATTTCCCCCTATTTTCCATCCACTGTCACCACGTCCTCCCGCTTCCTTCCCTTCCCTCCGAATGTGCGTGAACTGGCCAACCGACATCTACGTCAAGTAGCTGCATACCATAGAAAGAAGGCAAAATGTAATGAATCTCAGATTTCTCGCTAAAACTTATTCGACACGCATATTTTGCGGTGGCATCGAGCCTTGCTAGTGCTTCCCTGATGCTTAAACGTGGAGGAGGGTAAAATTCTAATGGGCATTGTGTTTTTTGCCTTGTAGTTCTTCCCTTTTATTTATTGGCCTTTCTGCTTTTTGGTTTTATGTCACTTGAGTGTATGCTGTATGTTCAGCTTGATAAATGAATGAATTGATGAGATAAAATTCCTCGATATGCAGATTCTGGGCATAAGTTTCTTCTTTTTTTTTTTTGATTTCCAGATATCAGCCTGCCAAAATCAGCCACAATATGTTTCACATCGGCTTTACTGAAAGTAAGGACTGTCGCTGACAAGTAAGTGCTTTTCATTTTTGAGACAAAGATCAGCCTGAAACAATAATGCATTCTGTGCAATCAGAATGTGTATTGAAAACTTTCGATGTTTTTTTTTTTTTTAAGGTTTACGCCAGATTTTGTGATGCGGCGTGGATTGAGTGCTGCCGAGGTGAACGCCGTTGATGCAATCCATCGAGCAGTGGAATTTAACCCACATGTTCCAAAGTATCTGCTTGAACTCAAACCACTTATCTTGCCACCAGAGCATTTGCTAAAACGCGGCGATTCGGAGGCAATCGCATATGCTTTTTGGCATCTGCAACACTGGAAACGAATCGATGGGGCTCTCTCGTTGCTTCAGTGCACATGGGAAGGAAGTATGCCTTCATTTTTTCGTTTTTTCTAAATACGGCTTTTCTGCTCGCATACTTGAAATATGTGGCGGAATTGGTGTACTGGGGCGCGGGGAGAAGGAAGGGGAATGTTATCCACAATTCAGTGCGCCAACACTTCACTGCCCTGCTCTCGGTATTGAGCAAAACCACACTTTTTTAGCTTCCGATGTGTTCGGCTCTCGACCGTGGCTTACAGATGCTGAGAGTGCTGCATGAAAATTAATACCTGCATTTGTAGATGCATATCGAGAAATCTACTCTGTTCGTCAGCACTGTGCTCTTACTTGATATTTTTAACAATTTCGTCCCTCCTCCTCCTCTCCTGGTCCCCCCTCCCCCTTCCCCTTCGTGTTTTTGTTGTTAATTTCATGCTTTTTTCTGTTTTCTCTGTTGATATGTTTTTGACTTGGCGGTATGTTTCGCATTCCTTGCAAAACATTACTTTTCACTAATCAGGCTGACACCTAAGCATGGAGCATTCTTGGAGTAATTAGAGTTACCAAGAACTGTGCGTTGCCGCATCTCACCCATTGCCTAATCCGTTATTACTTCTACACTCCTGTGAGATATGAATTGGAATTTGTGACAGCTGAGCACGCAGAAATAGTTTTGCAGAAAATTTAACATTCAAAAATTTTGCAGCATTCCGCCTGATTCCAAATCCACTTGAAAAAGGGCATCTTTTTTATCCGTACCCATCGTGCACCGAATCAGCTGATAGAGAGCTTCTACCATGTAAGTTCTGCTTTATCTTAGCATGTTCCTACTCTCCATTATTTTTGCAGCAAGTTAGACCATGAATTGTTTCGCTATAAAAATGGATGCGTTGTTCAGGAAAATTGAAAAAAATTGAAAATGTGACATTATACGAATGGTTATTCGATTAAAAGAAAAACTAGGAAGTTGGAATTTTAATGTCGCCTGACCAAGTGCCACCTAGTTACATAACTAGCTTCTTAAACTTCGAGGACCAACATGCCACAAATTCTAGCTACTGGGACTCCAAATGATCTTACTGCATCACGAAATTTAAATTAGCATGGTCGGAAAAGCCATCTCAAAGTCTGCAATTCTTTTCTCGTAGGTGCTCACCATAGCGATCTCGCCTTAGTGCTAGGCTTAAATTGATTTTCATCCGTAGTTCTATGCTTCTCCAGTTAGTAGTTGCAAATGGGTTGGTTTCAGCATGGCACGAAGTATCTGTGTATCCGAAACGAGACCTTCCGTTTTTTACCGTTATCACGGCGCTGATCTTCTTCGTCACTGCTGTCTTGGCTGTTATCACTCATCAATATCCAAGGGTATTACACTTTTTTATGCGTTTTGAGCTGTGTAACAGCGTTACAAAACGCATATTGTCACGGGTTTGTCTGTGTGTGTGTTTGTGTGTGTATGTGTGTGTGTGTGTGTATGTTTGTGTGTGTGTCCCACATTTTGTCCCGCACTTTCAACCCGGGGACCACAAAAGCTAGGCGGCTGAAACTTTAGTATAGTGTTCCTCGCCAACGGGTGACGCGGCAAATTTAAATTCAGCCTTCCCTTACCCGCGGGTAACACGTATGGCCCCATGAAAGTTTTTTACGGGTAAATTAGTATCTCAGGAACCACGGAGTCTGTGAGGCTGAAATTTTAGGGTTGTGGCCCCTTCCCACGCATAACCTTGCCCATTCAAATTTAGCCTTCCCGTACCCGCGGGTAGCACGTACGGCCTCGTGAAATTTTTTTACGGGTAAATTAGTATCTCAGGAACCACTGAGTCTAGGAGGCTGAAATTTTAGGGCAGTGACTCCCTGCCCACGCTCAACTTTGCCCATTCAAATCCAGCCTTCCTGTACCCGCGGGTAACACGTACGGCCCCGTGAAATTTTTTTACGGGTAAGTCAGTATCTCAGGAATCACGGAGTCTAGGAGGCTGAAATTTTAGGGTAATAATCCCCTGCTCACGCTCAACCTTGCCTATTCAAATTCAGTTTTCCTCGCTGTTGAGCATCACCTACGGTCTCGGGAGAATTTTGGGGTAAGATATCGGGAATCACGGAAAGATATTCACCCTTCAAGGTTTCGAATCCAGCTTTCATGCCCTGGTGCGTGAAATTTTTAATTATTTTCCAGTGTTTGAACTATTTTTGCATAGACTAAAGTACAAATCAGTGAAAATCATTAATAGGCAATCATTCAATGGGCTGAATTGCACAAAACGCATGATCGCACCGTCTAGTCTGGTGCGCATTGCTATTTATTTTCCATAGCATTTACGAGGGGTGTTGATCATAATCGATC